ACATCTCCAGAGAAAATTGCTGCTAGTCATGAGGAACAGATATCTCAGTTAATGCCTTTAGTGCCTTTCTAAGTATGAGAAGATGCAAGAACCCAGGATCATAAAAAATTTCTCCTGAAAATACCTATCTATCTGAAGGTCTGTTCTGGCAGTTTTCCCAAAGCATAGAGTGCTTCATTCTGTCCTAATTCCTTTCAGGTTGTGTTGAAGGTCAGTGACTACAGTGGCTAATAGCTTAATTTTTTTTTTAATCTTTTTAAAACATTCTTTTCAGAGATGGAAGTGGCAACCCACCCCAGTATTCTTGCCTGGAAAATTCCATGGACAGAGGAGCCTGGCAGGCTACCATCCATGAGGTCGCAAATAACTGGAAACGAATGGGTGACTTTCACCAGCTTTAATTTTTAATTGGAGGATAATTGCTTTACCGTGTTCTGTTGGTTTCTGTCATATGTCAACGTGAATCAGCCATCGGTACACATATGTCCCCTCCCTCTTGAACCTCCCTCCAACCACCCATCCCATTCACCCCGCTAGGTTGTCACAGAGCACCAGGCTGAGCTCCCTGCATGATATAGCAAATTCCCAGTAGGTATCTATTTTATCCATTATGGTAATGTATATATGTCAATGCTACTCTTTCAGTTTGTCCCACCTTCTCCTTCCCACACTGTGTCCACAAGTCTATTCTCTATATCTGTGTCTCTATGCTGCCCTACAAAATAGCTTAATTCTTAACAGAACTGGATGGCAAGTGACATTTCTTTAGTTGGCAGTGGTATTGTTACAATAACCTGAATAAGTTATTTGTAGTTTCTGTTTTATTCTAGTGCTAGCTTGAAGGCTCTGCCTATAGTTCTACAGGTCAAAATTAGTGCATTCAGGAAGGGACAGTCTCAGAGCTTCAGGGAAAGAATCAGGTACCTTGAACTATCAGCATATACATCAGAGAATAGTTTTGCGGGCACACATTTTCAAGTTGTCATAGACAGACAGATTTCACACCATACCAGTGGATCCAATCAGGATTTCTAGAACTCTTTTGTCTTGAAGCAGAGAACCTCTTGGAAGTAGTTTACTGATCCAAGATCCAACAGAACACTTATAGAGAACTTAATGGACTGTGGAGAGAAATTTAATCATGGCTACTTGTTTGGAATATTATTTATGCATGCAGCTGTTATGTTCTATTTTTATGGATATAGGAGAAAACCCTTTTTAATTTTTAGGCTGTCTCATCTTCAGTTTAGTAGACTCTGCTTTTATAAACTGGAATTTTAAAATGGTATCTGTTTCTGTTTCCCAGAATTTAGAAACATTTGCTATCTCCTTACATTTCATGGCAATATTCAAAAGGAACATTTATTCCTGTTTACCAGGATTTAAGTAAACAAATTGATTGTGTAACTAAAGCCATCTCTGTCTGTGTCAGTAGCTCTGTTGTGTCTGACTCTTTTGCGATCCCATGGACTATCACCCACCAGGCTCCTCTGTTAATGGAATTCTCCAAGCAAGAATACTAGAGTGGGTTGTCATTTCCTACTTCCCAAGCCAGAGATCAAATTGCCAAATTATCATAGAAAAACCAAGGGAATTCCAAAAAAAAATCTACTTCTGCTTCATTGACTATGCTAAAGCATTTGACTGTGCGGATCAAAACAAACTGTGGAAAATTCTTAAAGAGATGGGACTACCAGACCACCTTACCTATCTCCTGAGAAACCTGTATGCAGGCCAAGAAGCAACAGCGAACTGGCTCAAAATTGGGAAGGGAGTACATCAAAGCTGTATATTGTCACCCTGCTTATTTATTTAACTTATATGCTGAGTACATCATGTGAAATGCCAGGCTGGATGATGCACAAGCTGGAATCAAGATTGCAGGGAGAAATATCAATAACCTCAGATATGCAGATGACCCCACCCTAATGGCAGAAAGCAAAGGGGAACTAAAGAGCCTCTTGATGAAGGTGAAACAGGAGATTGAAAAAGTTGGCTTAAAACTCAACATTCAAAAAATAAAGATCATGGCATATCCGGTTCCATCACTTCATGGCAAATAGATGGGGAAAAAGTGGAAACAGTGACAGACTTTATTTTGGGGGGCTCCAAAATCACTGTGGATGGTGACTGCAGCCACAAAATTAAAAGATATTTGCTCCTTGGAAGGAAAGCTATGTTCAAATCTAGACAGGATATTAAAAAACAAAGACACCACTTTGCCAACAAAGGTCTGTATAGTCAAAGTTATAGTTTTTCTAGTAGTTGTGTATGGATGTGAGATGTGGGCCATAAAGAAGGCTGAGCACTGAAGAATTGATGCTTTGGAATTGTGGTGCTGGAGAAGACTTGAGAATCCCTTGGACAGCAAAGGGATCAAACCAGTCAATCCTAAAGGAAATCGACCCTGAATATTCATTGGGAGGACTGATACTGAAATTTAAGCTCCAGTACCTTGGCCACTTGATGGGAAGAGCCAGCTCACTGGAGAAGACCCTGATGCTGGGAAAGATTGAAGGCAGAAGGAGACGGAGTCAACAGAGGATGAGATGGTTGGATGATGTCATAGACTCAATGGACATGAGTCTGAAGAAACTTTGGGAGATAGTGAAGGACAGGGACTTCTGGCATGCTGCAGTCCATGGTGTTGCAAGGAGTTGGACAGGACTGAGTGACTGAAAAACATCAAGGTATTGTCTCATGGATCCCCTGGGTATTTTCTGAACAGGTATTTATCTGTGATTGTCTGTTGGCTGGGTTAACTCTTTTACAACTCTGTAGAGTTAAAAGTTAAATTGTAGAAAATGTAGAAATATGGAAATGAACCATGAACTACAACTGGTTTCTCCTGTAAAGAAAAAATGACCCTCTGTTTTTCACCCTACAGGTTATTAACCAGTTTTACACATATTAGCAAATTCTTTTAAGCATTTCTAACTGTAGATATGTCTGTTCTTTAAGTTCTCCCTTATACAGTTTAACATCTTTTTAGTTCTCTCATTCATTAGTTAAGTGAAACCTTAAAAAAAACACTGTTGCCTATAGGGTTCAACCTTAAATCTCCAAAGAACTTTTTATTATCTGATTACAGGGATATATTCAAATCAATGGATTTCATTCTAGAAGCCATATAAACAGTTTGTTGGTTTTTTTTTTTTAAATTCAGAGGGGTCTTGGAACAATCTCTTCTTCCTATATGCAAATTGATTACTCTGGTAGATTCCTTAAATATTCATTAAACTTTTCATAAAAATACCAGATCTTAAAAAAATATACCAGATGTTTTATAAAATTGTCTTTTCCAGGAACCATCAAGTCACAAATGTAAGAAATTAAAAATCATACTTGTAATCTGACCTGTACTCCAGGCTGTAATGGCCCTAGCCAGTCAACTTTTGTAAGTGGTGGGAAATCTAATATATAAGGTGCTAGATTTTATTCTATCTTGAGATCAAAGAAGTAGAGGAAGCTAGTCTATAAATCAAGAAAGAATGCAACATGGCAGAGAAGGTAGAACAGAGAGATAGGGAAGTACTATTTCATGGGTTCCTAAAGACTATTTCGGTTTTAGTCCCTTCCTAAAACTGACTCCATTCCAGCCTTCAGATCCATGAGGCACTTCAATATACTTACATTTGTCCGTATTTTGCTTAAGTAGCTTAAATTCATTCTGGTTACTTGTGACTAAAATCTCTTAATTGATAATTATATAATTGCTTAACACTTATTATCAAAGGTACTTTAATATTTTCACTATATGGCTTTAGAATACAATTAGATGTCTAGAAGCTTTATGCAGGTGAATTTTTTAACTTAGGTAAATGCAAATTTGCATTTGGAACATACATATTACACGTAACTTGTAATTTCAATGTAATATCTGATTTATTTAGAGACCCAATCTCTTACCAATCTTGAGCTGTGTCATTAAAAAAGTTTCATAGTTAAGCATGAAAAGCCATTTAAACTTTTTGGATAAAATATTAGATCTTTATAATTTAGTGAGGTGTAAGAGGAAATGTGTGTGGTCTTTGTCCTCAGTCCCTGGGTGAGCTTGTAACCAAAACTGGGGTGTGCCAGTTGCCACTCAAAAGCCAATAAAGAAGGAAGGTGGGTAGAAAACAATAAATGTTGCAGAGAGTATGGAGAGAAGAGACCCCTCCTATACTGTTGGGAATGTAAATTGGTACAGCCACTATGGAGAACAGTATGGAGGTTCTTTATAAAACTAAAAATAAAGCTAACCATATGACCCTGTAATCCCATTCTGGGGCACATATCCAGAGCAAACATGATCTGAAAAGACACATGCACTCCAATGTTCATTGCAGCACTGTTTACAATAGCCAACATGTGGAAGCAACCTAAATGTCCATCAGCAGAAGAATGGATAAGATGTGGTATAAACATATACAATGGAATTTTACTCAGCCATTAAAAAGAATGAGATAATGCCATTTGCAGCAACCTAGAAAATGTCATACTAAGTGAAGTAAGTCATACAGAGAAGGAAAAATACAGTGTATGACATCCTTCTATGCAGAATCTAAAAGAAATGATACAGATGAACTTGCTTTTAAAACAGACTCAGACTTCAAGAATGAACTTACAGTTGCCCAGGGGAAGGGACAGTTAGGGAGTTAGGGATGGACATGCACACAATGCTATATTTAAAGTGGATAACAAATAAAGACTTATGGTATAGCACATGGAACTCTGCTGTATGTTATGTGGCAGCCTGGATGGGAGGGGAGTTTGGGGAAGAATGGACACATGTATATATATGGCTGAGTCTCTTCATTGTTCACCTTAAACTATCATAACATTGCTAATCAACTATATCCCAATAAAAAATTAAACGTGTTATTTTTTTTTTAATCACCTAAAAACAACAAGAAAAACAAAGCAAGTTTGGTGGAACATTTGCTTTATTTTGGATGCTGGAAATGGCTGGGGGTGGGGGGTGAGGATGAGGGACGCACATATAAAGCCCAACTTACCATAACCTGACAATCAGGGAGCAAGAGCTTTTCTAGACAGAGGGACACATGCAGAAACGGCAGTTAGCTCTGACAGTCATCTTGAACTTGGTCATGTGATGGTCTGACCAGGGTCATCTTGATTGCTTTAAATACAGTTAATCTTCAGTTCCAGGGTCAGTTTATTTCTATTTCCTTGAGACAAATTCTCAGAATTGTGGCAGCTTATGTCATGGCTGCAGTCTGGTCATTTTGTAGTTAACTTCTTTTACCTGGCGGGGCTTTCCGACTCTATAATACAGCTCACGGGATAGGGCTCAGAATACTTTCAATAGCTTTGGAGGAGGAACTAAAGGTTCTTGACTTTGCTCACTGACTAAACTGTTACTGTTTTGTCCTGTTTGCTTTTCTTTGCTTCTGCATCTTCTCACTTCTCTGACTAAACTTTTTCTTCGGCTGAAGTTTTCCCACAGACAACAGGCAGGTGAAGGACATGGGTAAGGAGGGGTAGTGGTGGGTAGGACCATAAGGTCCTGCTTCCCTTTATGGTTTTTTCCCCAACTTTTGATCATGCCTGCTCTAAGTTCATCAATTCCTTGGAATTTCCTGAGCAACAGAAGTATGTTATATTATTCCTAATGAGCTTCTTTCAAAAGATCAAAGTCGAGTTATGTTAATGAGGTGACAGCCTGGGACCCCTAAAGAGGCTCAGGATGGGGCTGATCACAGAAAAGACCAAGTTATTAGAGGGCACTGTGGTGGTCTAGACTGCCGCCCCCCGCCCTGCCGCCATCATATTCTGAAGCCCTAAACATTCTCACGTGAGCATATTTGACGCTTTGGACTTGAGAGAAGTAAAATGAGGTCATAAAGGTATGGTTCTAATCTAATAAAGCTGGCGTCCTTGTAAGAAGAGACACGAGTGGCTGCTCTCTCGCTACGGTTGTGCACAGACATGAGGCCGTGTGAGAACACATTGAGAAAGTAGCAGCCTATTACGCAAACCAGGATGAGAGGCCTCACCAGAAACCAACCGAGATAGTACCTTGGTCTTAGACTTCTAGCCTCCAGAACTGTGAGAAAAAAATTTTCTGTTGTTTAAGCTAGCCAGTCTGTGGCATTTTGTTACAGTGACCTTAGCTGACTAATGCAGGTGGGAATTTCAGCCCCACCCGACACCTGGGGAGGAGAGGAAGGCTGAAGATTCTCCATAAAACTTGAGTGATGAGATTCAGGAGTTTCCAGATTACACGCTGAACTATGCTTCCAAGGAACACACTGAGGTACTGGAGGTGGGAGAAGTTATGAAACCTCGGTGTCTCTCCTTAGACCTTGCCCTTTGCATTTCCTCCTTTGTGATAAACAGGAAGTATGTTTTATCTGAGTTCTGTGAGTCATTCTTGTAAATTATCAAACCTGAGGGCAGGGACATGGAATACCCAAATTTGTAACCAAAGTGGACCAGAAGTGTGGGTAGCCTGGGGATCCAGGATTTATAAGTGGTGTTGGAAGTGAGATACCACTTCAGGCAGAGTGGACCAGAGTTCTTAAACCTGTGGAGTCTGATGGCAACTATTCTGCATTATTGTCAGAAAAAGATTGAACTGTGGATGCCCAGTTGGTATCGGAATTGGAAAATAAGTGACATAAGAAATATCACCTGGTATAACATATTTTAGCAGTATTCAACGTTTAGAATTACGAAGAAATAGTAAATTCATATTTGGTCCTTTCATTATTCCATATTGATATTTTCTGAGGTATCTAATAATGCAATCTAATGAAAATATGGACAGCTAATTTATGCAGTTCAAAATCAAAACATGAATTTTTTTCCATCATAGTAAATAAATCAAGTATACACTATTAAATGAAATAATAAGACTTCTTGAAAAGAATACAAACAGATACACAAATTGAAGAGATACATAACACTGAACAAATTTATTTAAGTTTATTTTTAGAATGTATGTGCATGAAATCAGATTATACACAATAGACCAAAGGTTAACCAGAGACCAACAGAGTCATATAGAAATAATTTAAAGGAAACTGCATTGACTTTTTAAAACTAAGGCAAGTGAAATGTGGGCTCAGAATTATGTGGGTTCAGAATTAAAACTTTATGGAACTTCTGGTCACTCTATAAAGGGAGAATATGAACATCAAATTTTTGACTATTACTGTACAAAAGAGAAACCAAATGCTTTCCAAATTGCAGTAAAATTAATTCCTCTAATATAAGACCACTAAGTCTTATATTAGTCACTTATATAAAGTCACTGACAAGTTATTTAAATCCTAGAATATTTTCTCAATGTAAATTTTGGAACATTCTGAATACTTTATAAACCTTCCTTTCTGTCTTTGGAAAACACTGAATTCCAAGAAATTTCTGTTGCTCTAATTTTCAGAGGTTAAAATAACAAACCAAGTGTATTTTTCTAGGTTAATGTAATTCAGGTACAGTGGAACTAAAGGAAAACGCATAACTTTAATAAACCCAAATGTGTTACAGAAAAGGCAAGTCATAAAGTTAAACAAAAGTATAAAACTTTTGGGTTGGCCCAAAAGTTTGTTCAGATTCTTTCATAACATTATAGAAAAACCCAAACAAACTTTTTGGCCAACCCAATACTATTAGAATCAGTTGTACAGGTTTAGTACAAGAGAACCTATGTTAAAAATTTCACTGGAAAAAAAACCTTAAAGCCTTTCCTCTCTCCTGCAGTTTAAAAAGTACATCATATTCTAATTACTCAACAATTATTAACACGGCAATCTGGTTAATTTTTATACTTGCCAATGTGTTCACGGGCTATAATAAGCCTTTGAATTTGTGCTGTACCTTCATAAATCTGGAAGAAAAAAGTGGGTTAAATATATTTCATATATAAGTCCTCAGTATTCTAGACAGTACTCTAAACTCCATTCCAATACTAAACTGAATCAAACCATACATACGGTCTATAATCTACAGTGATTCTGAAACCTGATTTTCTGAAAACCATGAAAATACATACTTTTCTAAAGATTAGTTAAAATTATTATAAGAACTCTACCAAAATTTTGGAGGACAGTCTTAAAAGGATCTTAACTTTCAAAAAGTATTTGGGAAATCTAAAGTTTAATGTTGCTGAAATATTTAACCAACGTTTTTGAGCTGTTTTAGCTAGTTGTCACCTTCAGTCATTTTCTATTCTTACTCTTAAACCTAACTTTTATTTTTTGTTCCTAAGGAACTGAGTTGCTAATGAAAAAAGATGCTGGAAGGATTTGTTTTGTTCAGTTAAGTATTCCTAAAAGACAGCCCTCTCTTCCAGTTTAAACTTCTAACTATTTGTTCAGATGTCAGAGAAAAGTAAAAAGGTAATAATTAAAGGCTCCAGGGAAGGGAGAGCATTATCAAATAAACTTGGAACTTTGGATAAAGCACAAATTATGGTCCTCAGTTTTTTCAAATCTAAATTGAAGGGCTGCACTGTCTAAATTTCTCTCTTTAACATTCTATGATTCTACCTCTCGATTTTAAATGACTAGATTTGTCAAATAATTTCCTGGGGATTGAGGGAAGTAATGGAGGAGATATTGGAGTAATTGAGGGAGTAATGGAGGAGAGAAGCATGGCTTATAAATACTTAAGATACATGTGGCATGAGCATTTATATATTATTTACGAAATCACTACTATCTCTAAGTTTTCTTAACCATCAATTTAATTAAGAAGCCATTCTCCTCATGTTTTTTTACCTCCTAAATATGACCTCAAGAGTTGTCAGGTAAGATTCAAAATAAAATAATTTAACTATTAGCTAGGATGTTAAGAATTAAAGAAGGGTTATTCAGATAAATCTACATGTCTACACTATTAGCTTTGTTAGCTTGCTCACTCAAGGCATATACTTCAAAGTAACATTCTTCTTTGTGTTAATTAGTTCTAAAAATTTAGGCTCACAGCCACTTATTATGATGATTTATTATTACCTGTGACACAAAATCTTTAATCTACCATATGATTTATGAATATTATGTTCCTTAAAAATCAACCATAATCATTTTTAACATTACCTGAAAGATCTTGGCATCCCTCATTAATTTTTCTACAGGATATTCGGTATTAAATCCATAGCCTCCAAAAATCTGAACAGCATCAGAAGCTAGCTGAGTTGCGATATCTCCAGCATATGCCTTTGCAATAGAGGCATAATAGGTATTTCGGTGACCAGAATCAACTTCCCAAGCTGCTCTCTGGTAACTCAGTCTAGCTAGTTCAACTTTCATTGCCATTTCAGCCAGCAAAAATGATATTCCTTGGTGCTAGAATTAAACAGAAAAAAAGTTTAAGGATATTTATTATTTCCCCTGAAACGTTTTTTAACTTTAAAAACTAACTTCAGACTTTTAAAAAGTTAAAATCTGCATCCTCCAATGGTAACATATTACAAAACCATAGTATAATTAACACTGGTAAAATATTATCAGCTAAACTATATACTTTATTCAAATTTGGCCAAGTTTTCCACCAATGTCCTTTCTCTGTTGTAAGATATCATCCAGGATTCCAACTGTATTCAATTGTTATTTCTTCCTAGTCTTTCCAAAGCTGTTAGGATTCCTCAGTCTCTCCTTCTCTTTCATGACCTTTGTGCACATATGAAGAATACTGATTGGTTATATTTTGTAGAATGTCCCATAGTTTGGGTTTGCATGATGTTTTCTCAGGATTGGAATGAGGTTTCACATTTTTTATAAAAATACCACAGAAATTACATGGATCCTTCTGAGCAGCTCCTGGGATTTTTATTTATTTACTTATTCCATTTATTTTTATTAGTTGGGGGCTAATTACAATATTGTAGTGGTTTCTGCCATACATTGACATGAATCAGCCATGGATTTACATGTGTTCCCCATCCTGAAGCCCCCTCCCGCCTCCCTTCCCATCCCATCCTTCTGGGTCTTCCCAGTGCACCAGCCCTGAGCACTTGTCTCATGCATCCAACCTAGACTGGCGATCTGTTTCACACTTGATAATATACATGTTTCAATGCTGTTCTCTCAGATCATCCCACCCTTGCCTTCTCCCAGAGTCCAAAAGTCTGTTCTATACATCTGTGTCTCTTTTTCTGTCTTGCATATAGGGTTATCGTTACCATCTTTCTAAATTCCATATAATATGCATTAGTATACTGTATTGGTGTTTATCTTTCTGGCTTACTTCACTCTGTATAATGGGCTCCAGTTTTATCCATCTCATTAGAACTGTTTCAAATGTATTCTTTTTAATGGCTGAGTAATATTCCATGGTGTATATGTACCACAGCTTTCTTATCCATTCATCTGCTGTACAGTGCTGTGATGAACATTGGGGTACAAGTGTCTCTTTCAGATCCGGTTTCCTAGGTGTGTATGCCCAGGAGTGGGATTGCTGGGTCATATAGCAGTTCTATTTCCAGTTTTTTAAGAAATCTCCACACTGTTCTCCATAGTGGCTGTATTAGTTTGCATTCCCACCAGCAGTGTAAGAGGGTTCCCTTTTCTCCACACCCTCTCCAGCATTTATTGCTTGTAGACTTTTGGATAGCAGCCATTCTGGCATGTAATGGTACCTCATTGAGGTTTTGATTTGCATTTCTCTGGTAATCAGTGATGTTGAGCATCTTTTCATGTGTTTGTTAGCCATCTGTATGCCTTCTTTGGAGAAATGTCTGTAGATCTTTAGCCCATTTTTTGACTGGGTCATTTATTTTTCTGCAATTGAGCTGCAGGAGTTGTTTGTATATTTGAGATTAATCCTTTGTTTGTTTCTTCATTTGCTATTATTTTCTCCCATTCTGAAGGCTGTCTTTTCACCTTGCTTATAGTTTCCTTTGTTGTGCAAAAGCTTTTAAGTTTCATTAGGTCCCATTTGTTTATTTTTGCTTTTATTTCCAATATTCTGGGAGGTGGGTCATAGAGGATCTTGCTGTGATTTATGTCGGAGAGTGTTTTGCCTATGTTCTCAAGGAGTTTTATAGTTTCTGGTCTTACATTTAGATCTTTAATCCATTTTGAGTTTATTTTTGTGTATGGTGTTAGAAAGTGTTCTAGTTTCATTCTTTTACAAGTGGTTGACCAGTTTTCTCAGCACCACTTGTTAAAGAAATTGTCTTTTTTTTTGCTCACTTCAGATTTTTAAAAGAAAATTGCCATCAGTTCAGTTCAGCTCAGTCGCTCAGTCGTGTCCGACTCTTTGCCACCCCATGAATCACAGCACGCCAGGCCTCTGTGTCCATCACCAACTCCCGGAGATTACTCAAACTCATGTCCATCGAGTCTGTGATGCCATCCAGCCATCTCGTCCTCTGTCGTCCCCTTGTCCTCCTGCCCCCAATCCCTCCCAGCATCAGGGTCTTTTCAAATGAGTCAACTCTTTGCATGAGGTGGCCAAAGTATTGGAGTTTCAGCTTCAGCACCAGTCCTTCCAATGATCACCCAGGACTGATCTCCTTTAGGATGGACTGGTTGGATCCCCTGGCAGTCCAAGGGACTCTCAAGAGTCTTCTCCAACACCACAGTTCAAAGCATTAATTCTTTAGTGCTCAGCTGCTCAGCTTTCTTCACAGTCCAACACTCACATCCATACATGACTACTGGAAAAACCATAGTTTTGACTAGATGGACCTTTGTTGGCAAAGTAATGTCTCTGCTTTTTAATATGCTATCTAGGTTGGTCATAACTTGCCATCCAAGGAGTAAGCATCTTTTAATTTCACAGCTGTAATCACCATCTGCAGTGATTTTGGAGCCCCCAAAAATAAAGTCAGTCACTGTTTCCCCATCTATTTCCCATGAAGTGATGGAACTAGATGCCATGATCTTAGTTTTCTGAATGTTGAGCTTTAAGCCAACTTTTTCACTCTCCTCTTTTACATTCATCAAGAGGCTTATTAGTTCCTCTTCACTTTCTGCCATAAGGGTGGTGTCATCTGCATATCTGAGGTTATTGATATTTTTCCTGGCAATCTTGATTCCAGCTTCTGCTTCTTCCAGTCCAGTGTTTCTCATGATGTACTGTGCATGTAAGTTAAATAAGGAAGGTGACAATATACAGCCTTGACATACTCCTTTTCCTATCTGGAACCAGTCTGTTGTTCCATGTCCAGTTCTAACTGTTGCTTCCTGACCTGCATACAGGTTTCTCAAGAGGCAGGTCAGGTAGTCTGGTATTCCCAAATAATGTGGCACTGTTATCAGGTGCTGATGGGCAAATGACAAGGACAAATAAAAGATGTTTTTTTATCCTCTACAGGTTCATAATCAAACAGGGAAAGTGTTAGTCACTCAGTTGTGTCCAACTCTTTGTGACCTCATGGACTGTAGCCCACCAGGCTCATCTGTCCATGGCATTCTCCAGGCAAGAATACTGGTATGGTATGCCATGTCCTTCTCCAGAGAATGTCTCCAACCCAGGGATCAAACATAGGTCTCTTACATTGCAGGCAGTTTCTTTACCATCTGAGCCACCAGGGAAGCCTAATCAACTAGGAGACTTAGACAAATATTTTCAATAGGAGACAGTAAGTCATCTGTGAGTTATATGGCCAAGATATGTTATAGAATGGAACTATGTCCACCATATCTTGACATGTGAAAGTTTGAAATATGAAGTATGCTTCCAACTTCGGAAAAATAAATTCTTGACCCCAAAAGAGCAGAGTACACATTCTATATAAAGAGTTAATGAAACATTCTACATGATAGATAACATGGCAGACCACAAAGAAAGTCTCAATAAGGGTAACAAGGTTGAAATCATGTCAGATGTCTTTTCTGACCACAGTGGTAGAAACTATAAATCAAAAATAGAAACAATCCTGCAAAAAACATAAAAAATGTGGGATGTAAACAGCATTCTATTTTTAAAAAAAACAATGGATCTTTTAAGAAATCAAAGAGTAAACTAAAAAAAATACCTGGAGATAAATGAAAACAGAAACATAATATTCCAAAATCTATGGGGCATAACAAAGGCAGTTCTAAGATGGAAGTTTATAGCAATTCAGGCCTTCCTCAAGGATTAAATGAATTAATGCATGCAATACTATTAGTTGAGAAGTTCACAGTGAAAAATATCATAAGTGCTAGAAGTATAAAGTTTTCCAAATAGAAATTTACTTCTTGTGCGGAGCTTACATGCTAGTGAGGCAGTAAAGAAAGACAGTAGACAAAAGCATACATGATATAATGTTGGGCAGTGCTAAGAGCTATGAAGAAAAAAAAGGGAGATCTTCCCAGGTGGCACTAAGTGGTAAAGAATCTGCCTGCCAATGTGGCAGACACAAGCGATATAGGTTCGATCCCTGGGTTGGGAAGATCCCCTGGAGAAGGAAATGGCAACCCACTCCAGTATTCTTGCCTGGGAAATCCCATGGACAGAGGAGCCTGGCAGGCTATAGTCCATGGCATCACAAAGAGTCAGACACGACTGAGCACACACACATCAGTCACAGTCTTCATTATATCAAGTGTTTCAGGTGTTATTTTACACAGGGTAATCAAGGGTACATTCTTTAATGAAATGAATTAGGAAGTGGATATCTGCCGGGAGAAGTAAACATAAAAACAACAACAAAAGGTCAGTGTGGATGACAGAAGATCAGTGCAAGTACTCTGGATTTTGATTTGAGTGTGATGAGAAGATACTGAAAGAATTTTGAGCAGAAGGTGGTTAAAAAAGGAGATATAAGTATATTTCTTTCTAAGTATATCTTATTTCAGTCTCAAGTCCCAAATAGTATTTCTCCTCATCCATTTTCCCACCAAGAAATGGAAATCATAGGGAAAAGATATTGCCTACTAGCAATAATAATCAATACAAATGACAGTTACTCACAAGGGATTCTTTCATATCATCCCAAACTACTCCAACTTTAACCTGGATGGAGGATTTTGACTAGACAAAGGAATAGGCAGTTATTGCCTACTATAAGAGATTTTATCATCCAGTAATTTGTTATCAGTGTTCCTAGTTTTACTTATTGATAAGAAAAAGTACCATCCTCTGTTTTTGTCAGTTTTCTTTACCCACAGCAAATTAAGCACTATGAGGGTAGTGATACAGCGTTCTCTTGAAGAGAGAAGTAGTTATAACAACAATGATAAACATGGGAGTGAACAGGAGAGCTATGATTAGAATACTATACTCAATAATATCCCTTAAAACAAAACTAAAAAAAAAAAAAACCCAATCTTTTCTTTTTTTTAAGTAACAGACCAAAGCTATGTATAAATCAGCTGCTTAATATCTCCTTTGTTTAGCTAGAAAAGTAGTAAGCAAAAACACAGACTTACTATACTTAACAGTAAGAGCCATGAGGCAAAAATATCATTCTGCAGATGGTAAAAATACAGAAAAGAATCTTTAGAGTCTGTAAGAAAAGGAACATAAAAGATTCCATTTTGAGTTGAAAATAGCCAGAAGAATATCAGACAGTTGGTGAGAAGGACCTGAAAATGATGTTATCTGTTTATGATTAAACTAAACTAATATTTAATAATAAGCATACATTTCACTAATCTGTATACATATAGCTCTGGTGACATAAATGAGCTAATATAGACTCTCTTTTGGTCCACAAACACAAAGAAATGCTTGATTTAAAAACAGAGCAAGGGGGCTTCCCTCGTGTCTCAGTGGTAAAGAATCTGCCTGCTAATGCAGGAGACACAGGTTTAATCCCTGGTCCAGGTAGATCCCTCATGCCATGGAACAACTAACCAACTGTGCCACAAATATTGGGCCTGTGCTCTCGAGCCCAGGAGCTGCAACTATTGAGTCCACGTGCCAACTGTTGAAACCTCTGCCACGCAACAAGAGAAGTCACTCCAATGAGAAGCCTGCTCACCACAACTGAGAGAGTAGACCCTGCTCACTGCAACGAGGGAAAAGCTCACAAGTAGAGCAACAAAGACCCAACACAGCCAACAAATAGTTATTTAAAAAATAAAAGCAAAATAAAACAACTCAAAGGAAAGAAACAAATCTCCAAGGGCCTCCAAAAATTTAATCCTGATTGAGAGGCAATGACATGGGGAAGGAAAAAAATCAGACTGAGATTTGAGTCTAACGTGATAGGAGTTGGAGTTTTAATGAACACAGAACAGGAGATAGATATGAGAATGAAAAAGATGAGGAGCTGAAATTGAGATTCTCTGCCTATAAGAACTTCTCTTTCCAAAGGAAGAACTAAAAGTCTTAGCTCATCAAGACAAGAAGCTTATTTCTTGCCCAAGACTCTGTCTGGGAGATTTAAAAAAGGAATTTCTTTTAAGCATGTAATCAATGTATACAGCTGTGGTATAGGATTTTACAAGTGGAGAAATTCATGTGGGAAAAACAGCTCTAAGAATACTGAAACCTCTGGGCTACCTGATAAAAGTACAAAAACATGCAAAAACCGGTCTCTTGGATACTTCCACAATGCATTGAAGAAAACTAATGAATGCTGCTGCAGATAAGCTTATAAGCAAAAATTAAGACAGGAAATAACTGGTCATATCAGAGAGATCAGATGCAGCAGACCAAAAAAACAGCTACCCTAAGATGCTGGGAGGGATTGGGGGCAGGAGGAAAAGGGGACGGCAGAGGATGGGATGCTGATGGCATCACCGACTCAATGGGCATGAGTTTGAGTAAACTCTGGGAGTTGGTGATCGACAGGGAGGCCTGGCGTGCTGCGATTCATGGGGTGGCAAAGAGTTGGACACGACTGAGCGACTGAACTGAACTGAACTGAAGAACTTGAAATAACAGAAAGAAAATCACAAAGTGACTATAACTGAAGCTTTATATAATTAAAAAGATAAAAAAGGAGAAAGAGAAGCTATGTTGAAAAACCAGGCCACCATAAAAGAAAGGGTAGAAATGAAAAAGAACCAAACATTAACAATTTGATAGTGTTGTGATATTCTTATATTTTAAAAAAATGGTCCACAGTTGACTGAAAATTAAAACCTATCTTCCACCAGACAGTTGAGAACCACTGACACAGAGGGATAGAAATAGGGAGCGTCCCCTGTGCAACCAATAGTTACAGAAGGAGTTACAGAAGAGAATACAGACAATGGGGAAGCATAAATGTTTGAAAAGATAATATTAAAAAGTTCTTGAGAACTGCCTGGCAATCCAGTGGTTAAGACTCTTGAGTTTTCACTGCCCCAAGGGCCCAGGTTCAATCCCTGGTTGGGGAATTAAGATCCCACAATACATGCTGCGTGGCCAAAAAACAACAGTAACAAATAGTACTAAAATTATTTGATTATTTGATAAGCAAGACATGAGAAGTAACATGGATTAACAGCATGAAATGGAACCCTGGATCTCTGATTTCTAAATTGTATGTGCTTAGACAAATCATTTACTCTAAACTGCAGCTTTCTGGTCTTTAATGGAAATTGTAGTACAAACAAAAAAGAGTGTACTGATGGAATTAGATAATACAGGCAGTTAAATCAAAGCAGACAACAGATATTAATAGTAGCAGCGTCTAAAGAAAATCTACTCTTGGGACTTACCTGGTGGTCCAGAGGCTAAGACTCCACATTCCCAATGCAAGGGGCTGGAGTTCAATCCCTGGTCAGATAATTAGATCCTACATGCTGCAACTAAGACCTGGTGCAGCCAAATAAATTTTTATATATACATATACATATATGCAAAGGTATTCTTAAAACCCACCCTGACACTTCCACTTCACATTATCTTCTTGCTACCAAAGCAGAAATAAACTACTTTTTATTTAAAAGATAGTTTTCAAACATTAAGTGAAAATGAATGGTTTTACATTTGAACAAAACAAGTATAGTATTAAAATTACCTCTATAAGCAGCTTTCCAAAAGTTTTTCTCTCCAGGGCATACTTGGTAGCTTCATCCAAAGCTCTCTTTGCTAATCCCACAGCAGCAGCTGCTACCTAGCAATACATTTTACAAAGCAGAAGTTCATGTTGTCTTTAAAACACACACAGGGAGGTGGGAGGGGGGACCGGGATGGGGAATACATGTAAATCCATGGCTAATTCATTTCAATGTATGACAAAACCCACTGCAATGATGTAAAGTAATTAGCCTCCAACTAATAAAAATAAATGGAAAAAAAAAAATTAAAAAAAAAATAAATAAATAAAACACACACATAATGGCTAGTTGCCTAAAATCTAAGTTAAAGTTTGTGCAAAGAGAAGCCGACCTATACCTTAAGGCAATAAAGGGTGGGGGAAATGACAAGCATTTAAATTTATATTTTATATGAATTAAAGATTAATGGAAGGCATTGTAAGGCACAGGATCACAGCCTAGATATAAATCATTCTTTCTGTTTAACAGGGGAAAGCTTCTCACTGGAAATATTCCTAATGAGTGAGGCAAGAGGAATGAGTGATTAGCAGGAATGATTAAATTAAGTGTGAAATGCTTTTTTGTAAATCTAACAACTATAGTAATTTTGCTTTTATTAAAATAATTTCTGTAATAGCAAGAATGTTGAAGAATTCTAAAAAAAAAAACCAAACCAAAACCCCTCCATCTTTAATAAAAGCAGATATTTAAAAAGAAATACAGACCAAGCAAACAATGTTAAAACAAAATTATTCAATATAATAAATGAAATCTCCTATAAAGGTTATTAAGTCATCTTACTTACTGGTGGTCTGGTTTTATCAAATGCTCCCATTGTAATTTTGAAACCAGCTCCCTCACCAATTAAAACATTTTCCTTAGGCACTCTCACATCTTCAAAGACAATTCCTCTTGTATCTGAACATCGCTGGCCCATATTTAATTCCTAATAAGGAAAACAATACATAGTATGAAACATACTTTGAGCTAGCATAAATTCTTGCTTTAAGCACTGTTAAAGACTTTAAGATTTTCTGCAATTGCCTTATATGGAGGTGGACAAACTATGGCCTGCAAGGCCTATTTTCTAAATATAGCTTTACAGAACTACAATCACACCTATTCATTTACATATTCTCTGTGGCTACTTTCTTGCTACAACGGCAGAACTGAGTATTTGTGACAGAGACCATGTGGCCCTCAAAATCTAAAATACTAAGTATGGTACATCTTTGAAAAAAAAAGCTTGTGAAACCCTCATCTAAAACGACGATTCACAAACTCTGAAACTGTTGACTACAAACTGTCACTTACCCGTCAATGACAAATGGCACTTGCTGAGAGAATCTGCCAGTGACTGAACAAGCGCAGTCGCCATCTGCCTCTGCAGAGACTGACCCTGTGCTGCTGCAGCTGCTGGCCTTCAGCACCTCCTGAGGGAGTTCAGGGTGGAGTGAGGCACTCTGTGCTCCAGGGTATCTGGCAGAACAGGTCTTTAGATCTGTGCTGCGTGCTGTCATTCAGTCATGCCCGACTCTTTGCAACCCATGGACTGGACTGTAGCCGGCCAGGCTCCTCTGCCCATGGGGATTCTCCAGGCAAGAATACTGAAGTGGGTAGCCTATCCCCTCGCCAGGGGATCTTCCCGACCCAGGAATTGAACCCGGGTCTCCTGCATTGCAGGTGGATTCTTTACCAGCTGAGCTACCAGGGAAGCCCTGGTAAAGACCTACCAGTTCTTTAGATAGTTGGATATTTTCAGGAACTGATTTCATGATCCCACAGACTCTCCTGGGAAACTTAACAGTCCTATTAAGCCACTCCTCCCTCCCATTTCCCTCTGGTGGCTCAGACATTAAAGAATCTGCCCACAATACAGGAGACCTGGGTTTAATCCCTGAGTCAAGATCTCCTGGAGAAGGGAATGGCTCGAAAATCACTAAATCCCTTCATGGTGACATTAGCTTCTTGGGACTAGCAGAAAACCTTCTGTAAAGTAAGCACTTGATTGCATTGAACTCCCCCTTCACCAAAATCTTATATATTAACGTTTCCTGACTGCCTCTTTGGAGCAGTCTCTCAGACTATCTGAGGTGCTGTCTCATGGGCTGCAGTCCTCATTTTGCCCCAAATAAAACTTAACTCACAACTCTCAAGTTGTTCGTCTTTTTTAGTCAACAAAACCAACAGTAGTCTAAAGTCTACATGTACATATTACCCACAAAAACAGAGTTCATTGTATGTATGAAGAATATCTTTTTACCACAAATGTCAGTAAAAGCATTTAACATAATTTGCTTTGGAACATTTAATTTTAGTTTAATAGAGCTAGCAATGTACTGAGTAAAAGTTGAACTTCTATTAACATTTATCTCCACCTCTGAGAATTAGGTGTTCTGGCATAGAATTTACCTAAAGAAAAATTAACTCTTCTAACACATACATTTCTCATAGTTTAGACAGATGTATATGTGTTAACTATTACCACAATGAAGATATTTCAGCATGCCTCAAAGTTCCCTCGTACTCTCTTAGTCAATTCCCTTATTCTACTCCCAATCCCAAGAAATCACAAATCTGATCTTGTCCACAAGTTTTTCCTTTTCCAGAATGTCATATAAATGGAATAAGGTCATCCTTCTGTATCTGACTTTTCACTTAGCAGAGTGCTTTTAAGATTCATCCATGTTGCTGCTGATCAGTATTTCAGAGTAGCATTCCCCTATATGGATGTGCCATATATCCTTTATCTACTCACCAGCTGATGGACATCCCCCACTGCCCTGCCACTCCCAAGTTTTCAGCAATTATAAATAAAGCTGCTATAAACATAGGTCCTTGTTTTTATTTCTCTTGGATAAATATTTAGGAGTGCTGAGTATGTGGTAAGTGCATGTTTAACTTGATAAGAAATTGCCAGGGACATGAAAAGATACTTATCATCACTAATTATTAGAGGAATGGCAATGTAAACTACAATGGGTACCTCACACTGGTCAGAACGGCCATCATTAAAAAGTCTACAAATAAATTGACACAGCCACTATGGAAAATGGTATGGAGATTCCTTAAAAAACTAGGAATAAAACCACCATATGACCCAGCAATCCCACTCATAGGCATATACTCTGAGAAAACTAAAACTGAAAAAGAATACACATGTATTCCATTGTTCATTTTCTGCACTATTCACAATAGCTAGAACATGGAAGCAACCTAGATGTCCATCAACAGATGAATGGATAAAGAAGTTGTGGTACATATACACAATGGAATATTACTCAGCCATAATAAGGAACACATTTGAGTCAGTTCTAATGAGGTGGATGAACCTACAGCCCATTATACAGAGTTGAATAAGTCAGAAAGAGAAAGATAAATACTGTATACTAATGCATATATACAGAATCTAGAAAAGTGGTACTGAAGAATCAGCAGTGGAGAAACAGACAAAGAGAACAGACTTACTGACAGGAGGACAGGGTGAGATGTATGCAGAGAGTAACAAGGAAACTTACATTACCATATGAAAAACAGATAGCCAAGGGGCATTTGCTGTATGTCTCAGGAAACTCAAACAAGGGCTCTGCATCAACCTAGAGGGGTGGGGTGGGGAGGGAGGTGGGAGGGAGGTTCAAAAGGGAGGGGACATATGTATACCTATGGCTGAGTCATGCTGAGGTTTGACAGAAAACAACAAAATTCGGTAAAGCAATTATCCTTCAATTAAAAAATAAATAAAAGTCTACAAATAATGCTGGAGAGGGTGTGGAGAAAAGGAACCCTCTTACACTGTTGATGGGAATATAAATTGGTGTTACCACTACAGAAAGCAGTATGAAAGCAAAAATGTTAGTCATTCAGTTGTGTCCAACTCTTTGCAACCCATAGCCCACCAGGCTCCTCTGTCCATGGAATTCTTCAGGCAAGAATACTGGAGTGGATAGCTATTCCCTTCTCCAGGGGCTCTTCCAGACCCAGGGATTGAACCTGGGTCTCCTGCATTGCAGGCAGATTCTTTATCTAAGCCACCAGGGAAGCCTAGAAAACAGTATGGAGGTTCTTCAAAAAAGCAAAAATAGGGTTACCATATGATCCAACAATTCCACTCTTGGACAAAACTATAATTTGAAAAGATACATGTACCCCTATGTTACTAGTGGCACTATATACAATAGGTGAGACATGAACCCAACCTAAATGTCCATTGACAGATGAATGGATAAAGAAGATGTGGTATATATACACAATTGAATATTCCTCAGCCATAAAAAGAATGAAATAATGCCATTTGCAGTAACTTAGATGGTCTTAGAGATTATCATACTAAGTGAAGTAAGTCAGAAAAAGAAAGGCAAATACAATATGATATCACCTATATGTGGAATCTTGGAATAGGAAATAGCAACTCACTCCAGTATTCTTGCCTGGAAAATCTTCTGGACAAAGGAGCCCGGCAGGCTATAATCCATGGGGGTCATAAGAGTTGGACGTGACTAAGTACATATGTGCAATCTAAAATACACGACAAATGAACATAACTACAAGACAGACACAGACTCCCAGACACAGAGAACAGACTTGGGGTTACCAAGGCGGGTGGTGAGAGAGGGAAGGATTGAGAGTTTGGGATTAGCAGATGTAAACTAATATATACAGAATGGATAAACAACAAGGTCCTGCTATATAGCACAGGGAACTGTATTCAATATCCTGTGATAAACCATAATGGAAAAGAATATGAAAAAAATATATATATATAACTGAATCACCCTTCTGTACAGCAGAAATTAACCCAACATTATAAATCAACTATACTTCAATGATATATATATATATATGAAAAAAGAAATTGCCAAGATAGTTATATCCCCTCAACGTTTTGTTTTAAAAATTTTCAAACCAACAGAAGAATTGCAAGAGGAGTAAAATGAATACCTATATACCTCTGCCTAAATCCACCAATTTTGGCATATTTGCTTTATTTCTGTGTTTTGTATGTATATGTAACTATTAGCTATAGTATTTGTTGAATTATTTGAGAGGAAGTTGTAGATACCATGACCCTTCTTAAGAAAAAAATATAATCTGGTTTTTAATAAGCAGCATGAGAAGCAGCATGTCTATGGGAATATAGACAAACTGTAAACATATAGAATTGTATATGCATACAAATTGTATACAATTTGGCCACTCTTTCAAATGACTTGAAATGACTATTCTCAACTTAAAAATCTTCAGGAAGGATTATTTTACCTGATAACATCAAATGCAGCTTTATTTTTATTGCAACTTAATACAAACAAAATGTTTTCAATAAAGGAAACTGAACTTAGTAATTTTTAAATTTATAGTTAAAACAATACTGGAGGCCTTAGTCACTATAAGTACACATTTACCTTTCTTCCAATCTGTATTCCTGGGGTGTCTGCTTCCACAATAAAGCCAGTAAAGGCTTTACTAGCAGGAGCCTTAGGATCCGGATCAGAACGAGCCAATAAATAATACCTAATAAACATGATGATAAAGATAATGGTATCAGCAGATAACAACATACAACATATGATGACTCCCATCTCAGTTAATCCTCCCAACAATTGCAATTATTATTACCCCTGGTTTATAGAAGAAATGAAGCATCAGAAAGATTTAAAAGCTTGCCCAGGTCATAATCTTATGATGTGGCAGAGCTAGTATTTCAACCCACATCTACTTCTTCTCTATTAATAATATGGAATTTAACTTTTTGTTGTTGTTTGACAAGTAAAAATGCCTCATATCAAGATAACATAAAGTATGTATGTGTTAGAACTGTCACTTTTTCTTTTCCAAAACTAGTTTAAGTATTTAAGGGACAAGCTATTTAGAAGAGTAGGGCAAATGGGGCTGCCTATGAAGAGCAATGAGATAGAGACCCCCATGGTCTCACTACTGTCCTCTTTATGCAGCAAAATCAGAGTTTCTGTTATAGTTGAATTATTATGAATATCTGCTACATTCTCTCTTCAGATGAATTTTTCCCAGAAAGATTTAAAAATGCAGCATCAGTAGAAAAGGCAAAAACATCCAAATATCCATGTAACCCATGTTCTAAATAGCCTGGAATAGGAGAATTTTAAAAATATTCCTTAAACAACAAATTTATTTTCTGTGCTTAAAACTAATAAACTATCACTCATTCTACAGCTTTACTTAATAGTTTAAAAAAATAGTAAAAACTCTTTTACAGTTTCATATTTTACCTAATTTGTCTTATTACATGAGTTGTACTTAATGAATTTTTACAGTTGTGAAAATTTCTAATTGCATTGGATTTCTCTCAACTTGTTACACTGTAATCATTTCTTCATTCTTTTATTACTTGATGATATTATGATAATTTAAAGATAATGATATATAGCAATCCATAATGTTGGACACTCATAGTGATGGACATATTTAAAAGAGCAAACTCACTCTTGGGAATAATGCTTTCCTTGCCAAAAAATAATGCTGAAAGAGCACACATATATATATTGAATCAGAATTTTTGCAGACAAGGAAAGATAGTCCATTTTTAGTTTATTTTTCCAATCAGCAGAGTCCTTCCTCTATAAGCTTCTATTTATATACTTGCAATGATGAGCAAATACATTTTTCCCATGACAACTTACATATTGGATAGAACAACTATCGAAATGCTTATCCTTATGCTGAGCTATACTCTACATTTGTCTCACTTTCATCCATTTATTCTAAACTGGCTTTCTGAAGCAAATGTATGAACCTAGTCTTCTTTGTATGAGACATTATTTCAAAAATTTTTTAATTCTTCCAATACAAATCTAACTCCTTTATTCTTTACAGGACATGTTTTCCACCTTCACCCTAATGAAGAACATTTACTTGCTTCTGAATTTATTCCATTTTGTCAATGCCTGTCTTAAAAAGTGTTTCCTAGAACTGCTACCATTTTTTCCTGCTTGTTTGACGCTATACTTCAGCAAGAAACTACATTCACTTCTTAAAGGCAGATACATCAGACGGTTGATTCCTATTGGCCCTTTCTTCATATATTTTTTCACAAATAGTGCTATCAAATATGTTTTCCTTCAACATTTTATATTTATACAAGTGATTTTATGACACTGTTGAACTTCATGTCACTATTTTTGTACTTACATATTTGGGCCTTTTAGATTTTATTAAAGTAAAATTCTGTCCATTCTAAAAGATAATGCTTATTGCTCAGGATTAGAGAAATGTGCTATACCAGTGACTTTCCTTTTTCCCTCAGAGTCTTAGGGGAATGGTTCTAAGGAGGTTCTGGTGCAGAGAGTAGGTGTAGTGAGCCAAGTAGATGGAGCTCTAGCTTTCCTAATTAGATTCAACCAGAGCAGGTGTTTTTGTTTAATTTTATTTTACAAATTAAACTTCTGAGACAATTTAAAGAACTAACTCAGGACTTAAAACTTTTAAAAATTACTGAATTATTTATAATCTTTTATGGACCATCCAGTTCCATGAATAAAATTTATCTTAATTGTGGTGGTTTAATAACAAAGCAAAGGAGAGGGGGAGATTCTGAATATGAAGTAATAAAGAAACAATGTACAGAGATGTTTTAAACAACATACCAATTAGCTTTTCCTCCATTGGTTATCCACATCTTCTGACCATTAATAATATACTCATCTCCTTTCTTTTCTGCTTTGGTTTTTATACCAGCTACATCAGAGCCTGCTACAGGTTCTGTTACACAATAGGCCTTGAATATATGGAAAAAAGGAAATAAATAAATGTTAATTATTAAAATTATGAACATTTAGAACCAGAAAGGTATCTAATTTTTTATATCAATAATTTTAAATATTTTAAAATATGTAAAAATAAAATGTTCTTACAGAATCAAACTGTTTAAATGTAAAAACATTTAATATGTAATTTAAAACTAGATGTAGGATTATTGTTGTTCAGTTGCTAAGTCATATCCAATTCCTTGCGACTCCATGAACTGCAGCACGCTAGGCTTCCCTGTCCTTCACTATAAAGGATACCAATAAACTATGTCAAAAATTAAAATGTTAGGTATCTTCAACCAAGTTAAATTCAATTTCACATGAACTCATTCATTCAAACATGTACTGAGCAGTATCTACTATTTACCAGATTATAAAGGAGGAGATGAAAATATCTTGTCTTCAAAATTTTTACAATTTAACAGTGGAGATGAATACTATAGAATACTATACTGTAAATACATATCTAAGTACTATAGTCATACATAAAGGGCTTAAAAAACTAGTTTTAGGGTGTCCAGAAAGCTTCCAGAGGTGATGCTTAAATTAAGTCTCAAAAAATGAAAAGGAATACTTAGAGGATAATCAGATTCTATAACATGTATACTCTGTGCATGTAAAGGAATGGTAGAAAATTAATCTGCAAAGAAAGGAGAGGAACAGATGATAAAGAACACTTTTATTACACTAAGTTAAATTTTTATCTGGTAGAAAGAACAAGAGCCTCTTAAGGCTCTCCAACAGAGGTGTGACAAGATGTAAACAGTAATGGATAAAGGGATCAGTTCAGCTCAGTTCAGTCACTCAGTCGTGTCCGACTCTTTGCTACCCCATGGACTGCAGCACACCAGGCCTCCCTGTCCTTCACCAATTCCTGGAGTTTACTCAAACTCATGTCCATTGAGTCAGTGATGCCATCCAACCATCCCATCCTCTGTCTTCCTCTTCTCCTCCTGCCTTCAATCTTTCCCAGCATCAGAGTCTTTTCAAATGAGTCCGCTCTTCACATCAGGTGGCCAAAGTATTGGAGTTTCAGCTTCAGCATCAGTCCTTCCAATGAATATTCAGGACTGATTTCCTTTAGGATGGACTGGTTGGATCTCCTTGCAGTCCAAGGGACTCTCAAGAGTCTTCTCCAACACCACAGTTCAAAAGCATCAACTCTTCGGCGCTCAGCATTCTTTACAGTCCAGCTCTCACATTCATACATGACTACTGGAAAAACCGTAGCCTTGACTAGACAGACCTTTGTTGGCAAAGGAATGTGTCTACTTTTAAATATGCTGTCTAGGTTGGTCATAATTTTTCTTCCAAGGAGCAAACGTCTTTTAATTTCATGACTGCAGTCACCATCTGCAGTGATTTTGGAGCCCATGAAGATAAAAGTCTCTCACTGTTTCCATTGTTTCCCCATCTATTTGCCATGAAGTGATGGGACCAGATACCATGATCTTAGTTTTCTGAATGCTGAGCTTTAAGCCAACTTTTTCACTCTCCTCTTTCACTTTCATCAAGAGGTTCCTTAGTTCTTCACTTTCTGCCATAAGAATGGTGTCATCTGCATATCTCAGGTTACTGATATTTCTCCTGGCAATCTCAATTCCAGCTTGTGCTTCATCCAGCCCAGTGTTTCTCATGATGTACTCTGCATAAAAGTTAAACAAGCAGGGTGACAATATATAGCCTGGACGTACTCCTTTTCCTATCTGGAACCAGTCTGTTGTTCCATGTCCAGTTCTAACTGTTGCTTCCTGACCTGCATACAGATTTCTCAAGAGGCAGGGATGGTGGAAGGCATATAGATTTCACAAGAGGATAAATGGATGGTGGAAGGGCGAACAGTGGGTTGCTGAAGTTCATTCACGTTTACTGGGTGATGGGAACTGTGAATAAAAGGCCTAAAGACACAAGTTCCTCACCTTAAGGTACTTAGTCCAAAGAAAGAAACCTTAACAGTTCATTTTAATACAAAGTAGTAAGGGACCATAAGGACATTAGAAATGACTACTTAGACCTATAGAGGAGTGAGTGATAAGGAGGGTAAAAAGAACACTTTTGGAGGAGATACAACGAATACTCATTGGAGGAGATAAGTCTTGAAGGACAAATGAAGCAAGCAGATCTAGGCACAGAAGAATGAAATAGTATTATGCAGGGCAAAGTACTAGCAGTTCAGGTGTCATTCAGTCAGTAAGTCATGTATGACTCTTTGCAACCCCATGGATTGAGGCACGCCAGGCTTCCCTGTCCTTCAATATCTCCCGGAGTTTGCTCAAATTCATGTCCATTGAGTAGGTGATGCTATCTAACCATCTCATCCTCTGTCACCCCCTTCTCCTTTGCTTCAATCTTTCCCAGCATCAGGGTCTTTTCCAATGAGTCAGCTCCTGGAATCAGGAAGCCAAAGTACTGGAACTCCAGCTTAAGCATCAGTCCTTACAATGAATATTCAAGGCTGATTTCCTTTAGGACTGACTGGTTTGATCTCCTTGTAGTCCAAAAGGACTCTTAAGAGTCTTCTCTAGCACCACAATTCAAAGGCATCAATGTATTTATTTTTTATCAATTAATTAAGTCTAGCCAAGAAGAATGTCTAAGAGATAAGTCCATGCAGGAAGGTAAAGGTCAGATCTAAATATAGATCATACAGATCATAGCATTAGCACTGTTGATTTACACAAAACTTACTCTTGACTTAAATTGCCAAATCAGTCTCCCCACTGGTGTTAAGGTTTGGTATACTCACCAAATAGCCTATTAAGTCTCCAGTTTAGGGCTTTACCTCTCCCCTGACCTTTACCTTCTTACATGGATTTATCTATTAGACATTCTTCTTGGTGATAAATACCTTAAGCAAAATGTGTCCCAAACAAAATTATTTTCTGTCCACTCTTCAGAACTACTTCTCATCTAGATTATCTAAAAGTGGCACTAGTGGTAAAGAATTCACCAGCCAATGGAAGAGATGCTAAAGATGCGGGTTCAATCCCTGGGTTGGGAAGATCCCCTGGAGTAGGGAATGGCAACTCACTCCAGTATTCTTGCCTGGAAAATCCCATGGACAGAGGAGCCTGGAGGCTACAATCTATGGGGTCACAAAAAGTCAGACGTGACTGACCACGGTACCTAAAATGAGAGTGATGAAACCATTCTTCTCTGTACTTATCACACCATGTTAAGAGTACTATATTTAACTCTATGCTATTTTTGAGTCACCTTTAAGAAGGTGATGGGACTTTATTGTGAAGAAAAGATGAAAAAAATTGGCTCTAATTAGCTCAGAAAAGATAAGATTCACATGATAGCCATAATCAAATACCTGAAGTGTTATATAGGCAAGGGAAAGAATTTGAATTGATAGGAGAAAACTACTATGAAATTATTGAAACTTATTGAACATCTACTATGGTATCAGGCAGTGAAATGATAAAAAGAAATGACACAATCCTTTTTCTCAGGAGCACATAATCTAGAAAAGCTTTCTGATGGTCAGAGATACTCCCAAATGCAGCTGTTTCAGGAGGCTATGACTCCCAGGTATGAAAACATGAGCTAGATGGCCTTTTCACAGATATGTGATAGAGCAAATTCAGATGACACATAAAGTTAACTAGATTACTCTTCTACCTGGAGATTCAAAGATGTTTTCAGCATCATAACAAAATAAAAAGTATTATAGAAATGAACTGTTCAGAAAAAACAACGCTTTAAAATAACAAAATTTTAAGTATTGATAACTTTGGGAATTTTTCCCTTGAAATGTGATATTAGACATTTCTCTGGTTTATAACGTATAGTTTTTAGAACTTATGAAGTATATGGGTTTGTGTGTTTCTATACAAAATGTATGGTTTTTGTCTTATTTGATTGTCACAGAGTAATTTTTACGTTTTTTTTGGCAGAAGTCACTTTTGCTTCCATTGCAACTTGTGTTCATTACCACACTGTAAGTCAAGAAAATTAGCATTTATTTTTATATAAATATATTAAAATAATATTCTCAAAATAATAAAGATTAATTTTCTTAAAAGATATTAACTTAATATTCTTAAAAGAATATATTAAAATATTAAGAGAATGTATTAAAATAATATTCTTTTATTCATAACTTTATTTATGAAGAATTTATTTTGCATAATTTTATAAATCCTATGACACAATAATACAAATATAATAATACAATTTGGGTAAGGAGATGAGGGTCTACCAGTCTGTTGTGAGCAGGAGCCCAGTTTTAGTGCTGTTTTATTCTAAGTCCACCTGGTACACAGTATTCGAAAATTTAGAAGAACGAGAATAACATTATAAGCTTATTAGTGATGATGCCACCACCTTATTTTTGTAGAGTTTACTAAGCAATTTTGCATTCTCTATTAAATTACTAACTTTTTTTGTCTTACACTCTAAAGGGACTGGAGGTAGTTTATATAATACATGTTTTTTTAAAAATCACAGTGAAGTGACAGTAAACTAGAAGAATATACTATAACACACGCTTTGAGGTTCAGATAATTATTAATAGAGGACTGTAAAATTGGCTCTATGCCCCTTACCAAAACAAAAAAATACTACCTGTAAGTGTAAAGTGGCATATAGCAAGGAATTCAGATTATTAAGTGAATGGATGGATGAATGAATGGCAGTTAAAGAGAAATAAAGTTTCCCCTAGTATTAGGTATGAAAGAAATTTTTATATTATATTGCAAAAGGGACACTATGTGGAGAAATTCTTCTGAAAACATAAGCACTTTATCTTACTGTATCCTTCCAAGATGTTATATGCCCTATTTTCAGAAGAGATTTTGAAGCTAAGTAACTATATAAGATCCTGTTACTACTACATTGCTTGAAGCCAGGTCTTGGGACCTCAACTTCAGCGTTGTTTCAGTTACATTTCAGCTATTAATACTTCCCAGTTCCACTGAAATGCATGGTTTTATGACAAGAGTTTTCTTTACCACTGTTAGGTTTTTTCAAACACCTCAAAGTTCTTAGACCATGTTTGGGCAAATAAGTTTACTGAAGGTCTTGCCTATGACAAGCTTGTTCCAACAGTCTAATACTTGTTTCTAGCCATCTAATACCGTATATATTTTAGGTATATGCTATTTAAAAAATTTAACCCAATTTTTGAAAAACAAATATGGTTTCTTATTATTTTGATACATATATACAATAATACAGTTAGTTATGATTTTTGGAAAATTTTTCTGTACTAAGTGGTATTGAAAAATAATTATACAGCTTGTTGCTCTGTGATAACCTAGAGAGGTGGGGTGGAGGGAGTAGGAGGAAGGTCTAAGAGGGAGGGGATATATGTGTTGTGTACATATAGCTGATACACTTCATTATACAGCAGAAATTAACACAACACTGTAAAGCAATTATACTCCAATAAAAAAATGATTATAGTGTTACCCTTATTTATTTCTGTTCTCATATCTTCAACAAGAGTATAACTGATCACATGATCTGGTAAGAGATTAAATCTTACAAACATGCCAAAGTAAAACCCAAAGACTTATCTTTTTCTGTATAAATTTTTACCATGACATTTTTAAAAGCAACAATCTAAGGAATTTAAATATTCAATAACATGGACTAGTGAAATAATTTATAGTACATCAATTAGATAGCATATTATATAGTAGTAAATATCACAGTATTTAAAAAGTAGAGCATAAAAATGCTTATATATTAAAAAGGATATAAAACTGCATATGTGATCATAACTGTGAAAAATACATCTATATGTATTAAAAAATCAAAGAGTATACAGTAATACGGTAAAACAGTTATACCAGTTAACTTCATATCTGAGGGATTACAGACATTTTTGTTCTTCATATCTTTCTAAATCTTACATATCATTTTTATAATTGGAAAAAATTTTTAAATATTAATTTCTAGAAAGTTTAAACAAAACACAATAGTACTATAATTTTCTAAATATTATTGGGCACTAACTGAAACTTATAAATTAAGCAATACTTTGAATTAATATACCTATTGATTATTTTCATTTTCATCCTTGGCTTCATATTTTGAATATATCAATTGCACTAGATACATATTTGAGTATATATTATGAGCTAGAAGAGGGAAAATGTATAGCAAACCTTTATTAATTCAGAGGTCAGAATACATTAGGGACTAGAATGAATATATTTTTATATATATTAAAGGTATGAATAACAAACAAAACTGTCAAAGAAATGTTTAAAATACTTAAATGACTTTTAAAAGACTTTAATATTTTAGAAATACCTATTTATAAGATAATTACAAATACTCTTATCCATGCATTAAGTTCTTCTAACCATCTCTGTATGCTACAATTTTTTTAGCTTGTTTCTAACATTTTATACATTACAAGAAAAGAACCTGGATGTTTCACACAATTCTTAGATAATATTGAGATTTAGACTTCTAAGAAATTTTCATTTGTTGAAACAAATTGACAAGTCGGAAATACATATAAATGTCTTTTATGAGTTTGCCTGAAATTTAGGCCCTGAAATAAATTTAGTTCAAACACAGAATTATATATTTGATCTGAACTTCTTGACACACAACCACTCAGTTCAAGAGCTCCAGAGTGCTCCATTAAGTAGACATTTCTTGCCTGGAAATAAGTTAGAGGATCGTTACGATACTTTTCTGGCATCCTAGAAACATCCTAGAAACATCATAAGTAGGTTTCTTTCTTCTGGAAACAGGCAAGAAAATAATTTTATGACACTTGTCATCCCAGAAACACTACTGTACTTAAATATGTTGCTTTTGTCTTAATGTGTTATATAGCCCAATGTATATATACAGACTGAAAAGGAAAAAGAGCACGCTTATTCCTTTCTTCTATTTTTATTCCTTTCTTAAATGTGAAATAAAAGTAGCTGCTGTGCATATACTCACACACATTAATGGCTCCTCAGTCATTCTCCCCAAATATTTCTTTTGTTGTTGATCATTTCCAGCAATAATAACAGGCATTTCCTGTCAACCAAAGGAAAGTGACATTAAAAAAGCAAGATATTTTAAAATTAGGTATGTCAACTCTTTATTTTTGGCCTCGCTGCACAGCTTGTGGGGTTTTAGTTTCCCAACCAGGGACTGAACCCAGGCCCTCGGAGCAGTGAAAACTCACAGTCAAAACCACTGGACTTCCAGGAAATTCCTAGTAAATTCAAATATAACACTATAATTCAAAACAAGACAACTATTTTTCCCCAGGTGTAAGCCCAAAGAATTGGCCTTTATTCTGCCTCTTAGTCAGAGAGCTAACACCACGAGGATATTAATCTGTTAATCCAAGAATGCACATAAAACTAAGTTATATAGGACTTGTTGGTAATGTAATATGTAAACATCTACTATAGTAAAATGCACAGGTCAATAATTAAATCTGTAACAAATGACATGGTACATACGATCAGGTCTTCTAAGCCCTATTCACTACATTCAGCACTGCCAGCAGTGGCAGCGCGTCACCTCAATCCTCCTGAATGACCTTGTCTAAGAATTGCCACTGCAGCCACAGCCAAAGTGCACAGTTTCCCCACAAGGACAGGCAGGACTCCAAGTGCTAACAACGAACAACAGGGTCAAAACAATCAACTCATGGAGTAAAAATACAGGCTTCCTTGTAGAACCTCGTCTTGTTTTTGTTTTTAGAAGAAAACTGTGTTCTGCCAACTAACCTAGCCTAGCAGTACTTTTTCATTAACAGCTTGGTTAGCCAATTAATTTTCTTAACTTACCCCTAGAGAATTTGCTTCAATAGCAGTCTGAACCCCTGTACATCCATAAGCCAACTCTTCAGTAATTAAACAGCTATCAAAAGTTCCAAGTCCAAGACCTCCTACAATATCAAAATGTTTTATGAGCCCATTGTAATACATAGCATATCTCAACAGAAATAAACCAAATTATTTAAATGACTTGCAATATAACAATTAGGTTAACTTGATCTTAAAAGCAAATTTACAAATACAGTATCTATAACATAAGAAACTAAAAGATTTTGGGCCAGTACAGTGACAAAGTATACTTTGTTATATAAAGTTAAAGTTAGTTTTAAAAAGTTAGTTTTAAAATTTCAAAAAGCTCTCTTACTATTTGTAATGTGGACCTGTCATCCTGCTTCACCTTGATTTTGTAAAAATTTGATTCAACTTTGATAAAAGTTTGGCCCTTTGAGGAAAGGAGTGAAAGGAAGTCCCAATTAAATGTAAAACTGAAAGTAGAATTTAAAAGCAACAACTCAACCAACCTAGACAGAGAAGTTAACAAGGATTAAGTTAACATTGTGATTTAATCACTAGGTCGTGTCCAACTCTTACGACCCCATGGGGTGTAGCCTGCCAGGCTCCTCTGTCCATGGAATTCTCCAGGCAACAATATTGGAGTGGTTGCATTTCCTTCTCCAGGGATGTTGCTGACCCAGGGATTGAACTTGAGTCTCCAGCATTGCAGGCAGATTCTTTACCATCTGAGCTACCAGGGAAACCCCACTTTGGAACCACTTAAAAAGAAGGAAGAATGCCTCTAATTGTTGAGTACAAGGCTTCTAAAAGCTGGCAAACATTGAAGTCTATACAGGGGCTGCTGCTGCTGCTGCTAAGTCACTTCAGTCGTGTCCGACTCTGTGCAACCCCGTAGACGGCAGCCCACCAGGCTCCGCCGTCCCTGGGATTCTCCAGGCAAGAACATTGGAGTGGGTTGCAGTTTCCTTCTCCAATGCATGAAAGTGAAAAGTGAAAGTGAAGTCGCTCAGTCATGTCCGACTCTTCGCAACCCCATGGACTACAGCCTACCAGGCTCCTCCGTCCATGGGATTTTCCAGGCAAGGGTACTAGAGTGGGTTGCCATTGCCTTCTTCGCTATACAGGGGCACATAGGTACAAAACCATTTAATGGTGACAAATATTTGAATGAATGACTGAATAGAGTTTTAGAGTTCTCTTGTTCATATGCATGCTAGGATTAAAAATGTAAAGAAAGCTTACCACAACTTTCTGGAATGTGTGTATTCATTAAACCAAGCTCCCAGGCTCTTTTAATTAATGGGACAGGGTACTGGAGGAAATATAATAATAATAGAGAGAAAAAAGTTATATTTAAAATCTTGTAAAATTTGTCAAAGACTTTCACTCCTTAAAGTGCATATACTTACCTCGCCAGTTTTATCATATTCTGCAGCAACTGGAATTATTTCCTCCCTGGCAAATTTACGAGCAGTAGCTTGAAATTCTTTCTGTTGTTCAGTGAATTCTAAGGGAAAGTTATTTTTAAAATATTTAAATAGGACAATGAGTTGAGAAAATGAAGTCAGTATGTAGATATTTATAATGGAGACTTTCATCTTTGATAGCCAGAAAGTTACAATGCAATGTGCTTTCAGACTACTCAAGATTTCACTGTACCATATAATTAAATCTATGTCAATATTAATGCCAAAAAGGTAGGTAAGATTTCTCGCTTTTACAAATGAATAATAGGTACAAACAAGTTTTTCTCTTCCCAGTATTAAAGTAAAAACAATTTTTCTTACTTATTCTTAGCTCCGAAGCAGAATCATCATATGTTTACTAATACTGAAATGAAACTAATATATAACACATATCCTGACCTCAAGAATCAATCTAATTAGGGAGGTTAAGACATGACCAGTGACCATACACCAATAAAACTTGTACAAAATATAAGAATACCATAACTTCAATTTTACTCCTCCTTTAAACTCAGATAACAAGTTTACAAAGGAGCCCAAAGCAACTGACAAAAGTGGTGGGAAGGCTTCTTAAATTAATGAAAGAAATAGGGTGGCTGGACCAAGCACAGAAGCCAGTCACTACTGTATTTTTTTCAATTCCACACTAACTTGCAGTTTTATTATAGTTGCATCCAACATTAAAGGATAGGTAAAATTTAAGAGCGATATAGGATGTTTTGGGCAAGAAGAATGAAAGAAAAGGCTAAAAGGTAAGAATGAAAAATAAGAATGTTAGGACTATAGCAATCATTTGTATAGGGATGTGTGAAATAAAATATAAAAGACATTAGAAATTTCGTATTCAATAGCCTAAGATCAAATCTCTCATTTTACAGATAAAATGCACAGTTCCAGAGAATATCAAGGAGAGGTAAGAAAGCCTTCTTAAATGAACAATGAAAAGTAGAGAAAAACAATGTAATAGGAAAGACTAGAGATCTCTTCAAGAAAACTGGATATATCGAGGGAACATTTCATGCAAGGATGGGCATGATAAAGGACAAAAATTGTAAACACCTAACAGAAGCAGAAGAGGTGGTAAGAATACACAGAAGAATTATACAAAAAACATCTTAATGACCCCGATAACCACAATGGTGTGGTCACTCACCTAGAGTCATATATCTTGTAGTGTGAAGCCAAGCAGGCCTTAGGAAGCATTATCACCAACAAAGCTAGTAGAGGTGATGGAATTCCAGCTAAGCAATTTCAAATCCTAAAAAATGATGCTGTTAAAGTGCTGCACTCAATATATCAACAAAATTTGGAAAATTCAGCAGTGGCCACAGGACTGGAAAAGGTCAGTTTTTATTCCAATCCCAAAGAAGGGCAATGTTCAAACTACCGTACAATTGCACTCATTCTGCATCTTAGTAAGGTTATGCTCAAAATCCTTCAAGTTAGGCTTCAGCAGTACATGAACTAAGAACTTCCAGATATTCAAGCTGGATTTAGAAAAAGCAGAGGAACCAGAGATCAAATTGCCAACATTCATTGGATCATAGAGAAAGCAAGGGAATTCCAAAAAATATCTACTTCTGCTTCATTGACTACACAAATGTCTTTGTGTAGGATCACAACACACTGTGGAAAATTCTTAGAGACAGGAATACCAGACTACTTTACCTGTCTCCTGAAAAATCTGTATGCAGGTCAAGAAGCAATAGTTAAAACCTTAAATAGTTAAAACCTTACATGGAACAATGAACCGGTTCCAAATTGAGAAAGGAGTAATCAAGGCTATATATTGTCACTGTGTTTATAACTTATATGCAGAGTACATCATGTGAAATACTGGACTGAAACACTGGCTAGATGAATCCTAAATTGTAATCAAGACTGCCGGGAGAAATATCAACAACCTCAGATATGCAGATGATACCTCTCTAATGGTAGAAAGTGAAGACGAACTAAAGAGCCTCTTGATGAGGGTGAAAGAGGAGAGTGAAAAAGCTGGTTTAAAATTCAGCATTCAAAAAATGAAGATCATGGCATCCAGTCCCATCACTTATTGGCAAATAGAAGGGAAAAAAGTAGAAGCAGTAACAGATTTTTTTCCCCCTTGGATTCCACTGCTGACAGTGACTACAGCCATGAAATTAAAAGATGCTTGCTCCTTGGAAGGAAAGCTATGACAAACCTAGGCAGCATATTAAAAAGCAAAGACATCACTCTGCCCAACAAAGGTCCATCTAGTCAAAGCTATGGTTTTTCCAGTGGTCATGTATGGATGTGAGAGTCAGACCATACAGAAGGCTGAGCGCTGAAGAATTGGTGCTTTGAATTGTGCTGGAGAAAACTCTTGAAGAGTCCCTTGGAAAGCAAGGAGATCAAGCCAGTCAATCCTAAAGGAAATCAGCCCTGAATACTCATGGACGGACTGATGCTGAAGATTCAATACCTTGGCCACTTGAGGCAAAGAGCTGACTCGCTGGAAAAGAGCTGGATGCTGGGAAAGATTGAAAGCAAAAGAAGAGGGCAGCAGAGGATGAAATGGTTAGATAGCGTTACCAACTCAATGGACAGAAATTTGAGCAAACTCTGGGAGACAGTGAAGGACAGGGAAACCTGGCGTCCTGCAGTCCATGGGCTCAAAAAGAGTCAGACACAACTTAAGAGACTGCACAACATATCAAGATTGTGCGTGGCTGAGGGTAGGGAAGGATGGGATCTATTATGTATTGTTTGAGAACATACTTTGATCCCATCACTATATGCTAGGATTTTCCTTATGTCATATAATTTAATCTTCAAGTAAACCCTGTGTTACTGACAGGTGCAACTGGTCACAGGTGTTATCACTATTCCTTTACTTGACCTCCACAATCTCCCGCCGAAACACTTGTATCTATCTCATCCTCTGTCACTCACCAAATCACCCCAGGTTTCTACTAAGAGTCTCTTACTATTGGGTATGAATCTGTATGTGACAAATTGAAACTTAATAGCAATGATACCAAACCTGTGTTAATATCTCAATAAGAAAATAAGATACAGTGTCCCAAACTGCTACCCTCACATTGCTTTGAAATTTTCACTTCATTCTGTTAAAAAAAACTTTATATGGACGCTAACAATCCTAAAAAATAAAAACTAAACATGTTAACCCTAGGGAGTTTTGAGTTTGCTATTTCTTTCAGGGTATGACTTAATTATTTCAGCTGCCTTTTAACTTTTATCTGAGACCAAGTGAATTGAGAAAATGGGTTTTTAAACTAGAGAAACAGTAATACTCCTAAAGCAAGAAGTGCTCTAAGGGGCAAAAGATGCTGAAGAAAGGGGTTATTATTTCAAATTCTATGCCTGGGATCTTCATTTTTGAAAGAAAAGGAGAAGGCAAATGTTACTCTGTTTTCCCCCAGCACCACAGGGCTCCCCAATCCCAAGACTAAGAACCACATTTAGCACCAAACTGTTATTCCATATATGATGGCCACTAGACTCTGGCTTATTAGTAGATACCTAGCAATGTGTATCTAATGGTGTTTAAGAAGTATTTGTGGCATTCATTTCTAAGTTGAAGACTATTCCCATGGAACAGTGGATCTGTTATTTATTTGGGCCTATATACTTTAAAATGGCAGCAATATATACACACGCTGCTAATACAGATGTATGTATAGGGTACTACTGCTGAAGAAGAAAACAAGATCAGAAAGGATGGGTGTGACTAACAGTGAACGATCTAAGGATGGTGACAGACATTCCTAAGTTTGTTTACAAACATATTTCAGATAATTACATATAAAAAGTGGCATATATAGACTTCTCTGTTGATCCAATAGTTAAGACTCCAGCTTCCACTGCTAGGAATATGCGTTTAATCCCTGGTCGGGGAACTAAGATCCCATATGCCATGTGGCAACCAATAATAAATAAATAATGAGATAGAAAGTCTTTTTTTAAAAGTTTCATATATATAACAAATACAAGTTTAAAGTCAAAACACAAAACAAAATATATACCAAAACTAAATCCTGATCCTGGTTCACGTTGTAAGGCAGTTTTTGTATGTTGTGACCTCCAGTCAAAACGAGAAAGACTTCTCAGTACCTGTAACGAATAATTTTATTACAATAAATTTGGGAATTTAAACATCAGTCAAGTAGAATACTGATTAGTATTTACAAGTGAACAGAGCAACTTGTTTGACCATATTCAGGAACACAGTTTAAGTCATTACTTAAATGCCTTCAACCATAATTTGATTTTTGTATTAAGTCAATTATCAGATGTTTTAACACCTATCATAAAGGAAATTCTTTTTTTAAAAAATGCAATGCAAATAAAACTAATCAGTAGCTTTGCACTACTAAAATGGAATATTTCCAAGATAAGTAAGAGTCGGGGGTAGTAGTAGACTTAGAACCACTGTTCCAGAAATCTCACCTTCCAGCACCAGAACACCCTGTAACTGGGGAATAGAAATGGGAGGCAAAAGTAAACAGTACCACACTACATTCAAGAGTTGCCTCAGTCATCAACTTTGGTTCCCTGTCCCTGGCAGCCTCCCAAGAATGTCTCCGGGAATCTTCCCCTTGAAGAACTCCATTTTATAAGACATCTCACTTTAACAAAACAAATTAGCCTAAAAGCATATATTTTCTGCTGTTGTCTGTAAGTATTCTTAGAATGTTCTGAGCCAAGAGTCAGCACACTATGGTACCTACCAGTGTTGTAAATAAAATTCTGTTGGAACACAGTGAGACCACATTGTCTATTGCTGCTATCACAGCAGAGCTGGGAAATCACACGGTCCACAAAGCCAAAAATACTTACTCTCTTTACAAAAAAGTTTGCTAGCCCTATTTTAAACCATTACTCCACTATTTGTCTTAATTTCTGAAATCTACTCCTATTTCTTCAAAAAGATATATAAAAATATAATCAGATATTACTTTGCAACCTATTTTTATATTCATAGAAAGAAAGGATATAATCAGATATTGTTCCTTTGCAATCTATTTTTATACTCATAACAGTTCAATATACACAAAAAGTAACCACTTGCATTTATTAAAGTTATCAAACTGGAAACCATACTGGAACTCTTGAGTAAATGTTTAAGGAGAGCCAAAATTACACAATTTACAGTTTAAAGAATTTGATAGAACTGATTCTACTAAGCTAGACACTGAAAGAAAAGAGAAACTCAACAATCTACTAAAAGTGAAGGACTGAACTTGCTTATGATTTTCAAAATCTGTGAAAAGAAACTGTCCACTTTGTAGATAACAACTTCAACTTGTAAACAGAATAACCTGCATTTAAAGTGACAATACAGACTATCAAATGTATTAATTTAAATAACCCTTTCAATAATATATTTTATACTACAATTTTTTTTTAATTACAGAATGTAAAAATTCACATTTTCTTTGTAATTTTCATTAATTTTATTTTGGAGTTAAAACATGGTTTCTCAGGTACTCATTGTCCACCAAACCTATTCTTGTTCAGTCACATTCCATGTATTAATGCACCGGAATCTTTGAGTCAATCCTAAAACTAAGGAATTATTTTTATTCCTATTTTGTATATGAAGAAACTGGGGCTCAGAAAGGTCAAGTAAAATTGGCCAAGGTCACTCTTCTATTAGGAGCCAGGATTATTACCTTAACATTTAGGATCAAGAATTCGTGCCATCAATCACCTTGCTATACTGCTCTTTCAATTCAAGTATCCTAATTGGCTATTTGATTCCATAAAGAAAAAAAATTGCACGAAAATCAAACTAAAAACCTCTTCTAAATGTGTGTTTATACAGCATGGCACAAAATCAGTCCTCAAATATAGGTAAATGGTTTGTTGAGATTTTAAATAGGGAATTATCAGTGTATTTAAAATAATTTACAAAAAGTTTACATATGACCCTACAGGAAAATATGTTACATAAAACAAAGTATAAAGGCAGTTACAATCAGGAGCAATGTCCACAAACTTGTTTATTAACTTCTTTCCAAACCCGGAAAATGAGGTTAACCTTATTGGGTAACTGTGGAGATGGTCAAAATAATGTCTTGAAAGCAAAACCGTTTATAAATGTTATTAACTCTGGGTTCTCTGCCAGAAAAATGGAATTCAAAACCTCCAAAGGTAGCAACTTTAATCAAGCATTAACTTTGCAATAACAGCACAGCTATAATTGAAAACTTTAGCATATTTCTTAGGAATTAAGAGTCTGAGTTTTATGGGAGTGTCAAAGTGATGTAAATTTTCTGGATCAGGTTTTTCTGTATCTATTTCGTCCCCGCAACAACGCATCACCTCCCGCCCCTGCCCCGAGATTGAGAAATCAGGTCTTTTTTCCTGATATCAGCGTTTAAAATAATTTTTTAAATCCCTCAATTTCTGCCTTCAGCACCCATTAATTTGTATAGCAATGACAAATACTGGGCAATAATCCATTAGAATTACTCTGAACCTGACACCATTTTGGTACAAGACATAACTTTCTCAATTATAAATAACATATAAATGGCAATAATATTTAAGACAGCGAACTGTATCCAGTAGCTGAGACAATTTAAAATCTGTGAGACACTAGAATAAACAGACGGGCCTCAAAGAAAATTCTGCTCTGGGATTTTCTTTTCTCCTTTATTTACGTACACAACCTGGAAGCGCCTCCCTGCATACTGTTAAACCAAATGCTTATTAAAATATATTAAGTATCCTAAGGAGCAGCTGCTCCATTTTCCTTTTCCTCGTTACCTGGCAGGCACCCAAGGTAAAGACTATCTGAATTCTGCACTTTGCAGTATATACATCACAGAAGACTTCCTTCTTAGTGTAGGGACTGAAAGCCAAGAGAGTGTCCTCCAAGAGATAATGAACTAGATCAGCAAAAACACGGTTGTAATTTTTAGGCGCTGGCCAATTAAAAGGCGGATTTATTTCGGGATATGACAGGATTCCTCCGGGAAATCTTTGGAAGGTTCTCAGGCCAGAGAAAGAAAAGAGATTCTGAAAAGGGGACTCCATCTATATACGGGGCAATTGCCAAGGAGATACAGGAAACTGGAAACCCAGAAAGCGCTCTGTCCCACAGAGCGAGGAATGGGTGGGCGCGAAAGCCAGGCGAGGGTCCGGAAGTAAGGAGGGCCAAGGCGCCTGAAGATTGGGCTCCTGCCTTATCACAGCTTCCCACCCCGCCCGGCCCCCTCCCGAACACCACAACCTCCACTTCCCACCCCCGCCGAGCCTTACTCTCCTCTTACCCCGCAGCTTCGCCTAAACAGCGCGGTCATGGTGACTGCCGGTTCGGTTATGCAGTCTGTGGCGCCAACTCTTCGGAAGCTCCTGGCTAAGAACTCATCTGCCCCGCCCACATTTTGTCCGCGCCCACTCGTTAAAGTTGTGGGCGGGGCCTCAGTCGGAAGGGACTAGAAGGAAAATGAAAGACGAAGGAGGGGGCAGCCTGCGCGGCTTGGTTGAACGCATGCTTAGTCGGCGATGGCCCCCTTTGCAGCCCCCGCCATCTTGGAAAGAGGTCTAGGTACCTGACGGGACCCAAAGAGTTTCCCTGAAAAAGCGTATCTTCCCGTCGGTCCTTTGAGTTCAGTCGACTCGCCCCGTTGAGGGAAGACTGAGGCTGACAGCCGTGCGGAGGGCGAACGGTGGCGGAGGCGGGGACTGGGCGGACTGCAGGCGCCCAGCCCGGAGATTAAAGAGTCACGTAGCAGGCCGAGAATCTGGTTGAGAGGGCTTGGCGAGGAGCTTGGCAGAAAGGCGTCTGCTGGTTTTCGATCTTGACTTTTATCCGGAGACACCTTTCAGACTCAAGTCGTTTCTGCTTCGAGGGGTCAAATGGTACTTTTCCCTGAAACACTGGACCCAGAGCAGAAGGATGTTTTGTGGTTTAAATCAAAGAGTAATGTAATCACTTGAGAGATTACAACATTTCTAAGTATTCCCAAGGCTTTTTATTACTGTGCACGAGTGTGAAATAAGGGTACAGGATGAACCTGTCTTACATCTTCTGACTCAGCCAGTGAAAGTGAATGCCTGATTAATTCTATTTAGATATGATCTCTGAGATAACTGTGGTGTTACAATGGCCGGCAATTTTTAAACCTGTGTATTTGTGAAAGCTAGTAAAAGCCCAGTGCAAGTCGAGGGTATGAATGTTTCCCAGGATTCCTAATACTTTTAATTTTTGTTGGCCCCATCCTAATTTAGGGGGCTTCCCTGATGGCTTAGATGGTAAAGAGTCTGCCTGCAGTGGAAGAGCCCTAGGGTTGGATCCCTGGATTGGAAAGATCCCCTGGAAAAGGGAATGGCTACCCACTCTGGTATTCTTGCCTGGAGAATTCTGTGGACAGGGGAGCCTGACAGGGCTACAGTCAATGGGGTCTCAAGAAGTAGGACATGGCTTAAGGACTAACACTTTCAACTTTCATCCTAATTTAGGCCCTCATCGCTCACCCCTAAAGTTTGAAGATCCAATACAGCCTAAATAAATAAATACGTTGTTTAAAAAATGTATCTCAACAAACTGGGTATCAAGAGAATTATCTCAGCATCATAAAGGCTTTGCTTATCTTTCTAAAATGAAGATCTGAACGTTGCTAATCTAATCATCTTCCTGTCTTGTTATTTGTAGGACAGAGTTAAAAATTGTGTAACAGGAAGGAACTTTTAACTTCCTAGCCCATCTGATGGCTCCACTTCCTATCTCTCCTAGATCTCTAATATGCTTTTTGCATGAGCTAATCTGTCTGTACATAATACCCTGTCTCTTGGCTCGCCACCTGATTTTTATTTGTCCTAAGGAAAGACAGGTCAAATGTCACCTTTGGTGAAATTCCCAGAGCTATCTGTCAAATCAAATAATCTCTCCTGTGTGCTCTTTGTACCAATCTTTTTTTTTTTTTTTTGAACTTTTAATTTTGTATTGGGGTATAACCGATTAACATTGTTCTGATAGTTTCAAGTAAAGGGATTCACTATACATATACATGTATCCATTCTACCCCAAACCCCACTCCCATCCAGGCTGCCATATAACATTGAGTAAAGGTCTATGTGCTATGTAATAGGTCCGTGTTTGTTACACATTTTAAATATACCAGAGTTGTACAAACCTCTTTTATAATGTTAATAAAGGGTTAGGCCCCACATGGCCCAGTCTCTACAGAGTTATGTACACATAGTATAAAAATGAAAGTATTAAATAAGAGGAATTGTAATCTTTTACTTACGTTTCTCCAAGAAAATTGTAGACATTCAATTTATAATCCGTGGTTATGATCTGTTAAATCCCTTTCTCGTCTATTGATTTATTATCTTCCATTCTGAAACCACATCCAAATGTCTCTATCCCTCCCTTTATACTTTATTCCTTATTTTGGAGAAAACTCCCAATACCAGCTCTTGCTTTTCTCAATTTTTTCATTTTCTTTCCTCTGCTCTTATCTACAGTACCTTCCTCTCGTCCATCCCCCCTTTCTTTTTGTTCTTTATAACTTCACTGAGATATAATTCACATACTCTAAAATTCACACTTTTAAAATGCACTAAAAACCATACAATGTAATGGTTTTCAGTCTACTCACAGGATTATATGACCATCACAACTGTCTAATGTTGGAGCATTTCATCATCCCTAAAAGAAACTCCACACCTGTTAGCAGTCATTCGACATTCCCACCTTCTCCCTCCCTTCTCCCTACTTTCTGTTTCCCTAGGTATTCATAATCTGTACATTTCATATAAACAGAATCATAAAATATGTGGTCTTGGTGACTGGTTTCTTTTCACTTAACATCATGTTTTCAAGGTTTATCCATGTTAAATGTGTCTGCTGATAACATCCATTCCTCTTTATGGCTGAATAATATTCTATTGTATCAATGTATACCACATTTTACTTATGCATTCATCAGTTGATGAACATTTGTGTAATTTCCAGTTTTTGGCTATTAGGAATAATGCTGCTTCATATATGTACATTTATGGAAGTATATGTATATACCCAGGAGTGGAATTGTTGGATCATGTGATAACTCAAGGTCATATGATAACGTCCAAGGTAAGGAGCAGCGGCTGTGCTTTGCTGGAGCAGCCGTGAAGAGATATCCCACATCCAAGGTAAGAGAAACCCAAGTAAGACGGTGCTGAGAGAGGGCATCTGAGGGCAGACAGACTGAAACCACAATCACAGACAACTAGCCAATCTGATCACATGGGCCATAGCCTTGTCTAACTGAGTGAAACTAGGCCATGCTGTGTGGGGCCACCAAGGATGGATGGGTCAAGGTGGAGAGGTTTGACAGAATGTGGGCCACTGGAGAAGGGAATGGCAAACCACTTCAGTATTCTTGCCTTAAGAACCTCATGAACAGTATGAAAAGGCAAAAAGATAGGATACTGAAAGATGAACTCCCAAGGTTGGTAGGTGCCCAATATGCTACTGGAGATCAGTGAAGAAATAACTTCAGAAAGAATGAAGGGATGGAGCTAAAGCAAAAACAACACCCAGTTGTGGATGTGACTGATGATAAAAGCAAGGTCCAATGCTGTAAAGAGCGATATTGCATAGGAACCTGGAATGTTAGGTGCAAACTGGAAGTGGTCAAACAGGAGATGGCAAGAGTGACTGTTAACATTCTAGGAATAAGCAAATTAAAGTGGACTGGAATGGGTGAATTTAATTCAGATGACCATTATATCTACTATTGTGGGCAGGAATGCCTTAGAAGAAATGGAGTAGCCATCAGAGTCAACAAAAGAGTCCGAAATGCAGTACTTGGATGCAATCTCAAAAACAACAGAATGATCTCTGTTCATTTCTAATGCAAACCATTCAATATCACGGTAATCCAAGCCTATGCCCTGACCAGTAACACTGAAGAAGCTGAAATTGAACAGTTCTATGAAGACCTACAAGACCTTTTAGAACTAACATCCAAAAAAGATGTCCTTTTCATTATAGGGGACTGGAATGCAAAAGTAGAAAATCAAGAAACACCTGGAGTAACAGGCAAATTTGGCCTTGGAGTACAGAATGAAGCAAGGCAAAGGCTAATAGAGTTTTACCAAGAGAACGCACTGGTCATAGCAAACACCCTCTTCCAACAACACAAGAGAAAACTCTACACATGGACATCACCAGATGGCCAACACCGAAATCAGATTGATTATATTCTTTGCAGCCAAACATGGAGAAGCTCTAAACAGCAAAAACAAGACCAGGAATGGACTATGGCTCAGATCATGAATTCCTTATTGCCAAATTCAGACTTAAATTGAAGAAAGTGGGGAAAACCACTAAACCATTCAGATATGACCTAAATCAAATCCCTTATGCTTATACAGTGGAGGTGAGAAATAGATTTAAGGGATTAGATTTGATAGAGTGCCTGATGAACTATGGACAGAGATTCATGACATTGGACAGGAGACAGGGATCAAGACCATCCCCATGAAAAATAAATGCAAAAAACAAGATGAATGTCTGAGTAGGCCTTACAAATAGCTGTGAAAAGAAGTGGAAAGCAAAGGAGAAAAGGAAAGATATACCCATTTGAATGCAGAGTTCCAAAGAATAGCAAGGAGAGATAAGAAACCTTCCTCAACGATCAGTGCAAAGAAATAGAGGAAAACAATAGAGTGGGAAATACTTGAGATGTCTTCAGGAAAATAAGAGATACCAAGGGGACATTTCATGCAAAGATGGGCTCAATAAAGGACAGAAATGGTCTGGACCTGAGAGAAGCAGAAGATATTATGAAGAGGTGGCAAGAATACACAGAAGAACTGTACAAAAAAGATCTTAACAACCCAGTTAATCACGATGGTGTGATCACTCACCTAAAGCCAGACATCCTGGAATGTGACGTCAAATGGGCCTTAGGAAGCTTCACTACAAACAAAGCTAGTAGAGGTGATGGAATTCCAGTTGAGCTATTTTAAATCCTGAAAGATGATGCTGTGAAAGTGCTGCACTCAATATGCCAACAAATTTGGAAAACTCAGCAGTGGCCACAGGACTGGAAAAGGTCAGTTTTCATTCCAATCCCAAAGAAAGGCAATGCCAAAGAATGTTCAAACTACTGCACAGTTGCACTCATCTCACACACTAGCAAAGTAATGCTCAAAATTCTCCAAGCCAGGCTACAGCAATATGTGGACTGTGAACTTCTGGATGTTCAAACTGGTTTTAGAAAAGGCAAAGGAACCAGAGATCAAGTTGCCAATATCCACTGGATCATCAAAAAAGCAAGAGAGTTCCAATAAAGCATCTATT